GTATTCCAATAAATTTCATGTAATCATGTAGGTACCCGTTATGATATCCTCGTAGACATAAATAGAGGGATGCGATTAGGAGGGCTTAGCTGTACTCCCTGACCCATTTTAAATTATAGTCTTTAATACCTATTTATATTATCAGATATAATTAAACTTACTGACATTAAGCGGATTGTGTGTATAATTCACACTACATAGAGGGGGCAAATAATATTTTAACTTATAATATAAATTAACAGTATCTATATATTTTTACATACATTTTGCTGTAGTTTTTAATTAATGTATATTATACTATTATAGATTTAAACTCACTATCCCCTATCGCAAGCTCATAGGCGGTACTACGGGGGTGGCAGAGTAGGCAACTGCCCCTCCTGCGAACCGTACCTGTATTAATACATAATTCCTTAAATCTCGGTTTCCTAACTCTAAAAATATATAAATTTTTTTTTTTCAATACGAAATTTGTTCCAAAATATCTGTGAATGATAACACACACTTAAAAAATATTCTATTATTTAATCTATTCTGTGATTTTATTATCAACGAATCCTGATGAGGTGATGTGCGTCAAAACGTTACAACATTGCGATGGATAAGAAAAGATTCGAATTGTTAAATTTGTTAAATTTTTTTAGTTTTTTTTTTCTATAAATATCAATAAAGTTTTATCTGTTGCGCCAAAAACTGTAAAAATTTAATACAAGGTTCCTGATATATTGTTACAGTAGCAATTGAAAAATATTAAAAATACATAGGCACTATTTTTTTTTATAAGCATTTAAACATCGAATTTTGACAAAATCTCGAAAATTATCAATCATTGTAATTAATAAATTATAAAATGTTCAGTTTTTATAGCTAAAGATTGCAAATTTAAAACAAAGGTTCTCATAAATAGTTCATACTGTAACCAAAAAATCTAAAAAATATATGAACACAGTTATTTTTTACAGACATTTGAAATTCAAATTTGGATGAAATTACATATTAAAATCAATATTAACGATATTTGTTTTTGTTGTAATTTAAAAATATTATTCGGGGATATATGAAACTGAAAAATCAAAATATTATGGCCTATCCATACAATCTACCATAGTATAAGGAATAACAATTATGCTCATGATAAGACTGTGCATATTTTAAGGAACTTATTCATAAATTCCATATAATTTAATATTTTAATACCATAGAAAAGTATATAATATGTCTTATACCTAGACTGACATACCGTCTCCGCTCAGAATCGTTTTTCTAATACAATGATATTATATCATTGCATTCAAATTTAATACCATCCACTATACAGTGACCCACTTGTAACCTACAGTACAGCAGAGCGACATCCACTTACCCACCTTTATATTTACAAAATTATTCAATGAGTAAATTGGAAGGGGTTTTATTGGGGTGAAGGGGAAGTCACCCATTAACGACCCCCCCCCCTTCCCAACATATAGTTAGATAGTTTAAATATTTTCTGCCCCCCCCCCTGCCAAGAGGGTCTAGTACCGCCTATGCACAAGCTAATAAGCAATGCTTTTTTTTTTTTGTTGGATAACCCGCGGCAACTATTAAGCTATTGGGTGTGTGGATGGAACTGTGAGTTTTATATTGGGTAGGTTGGTACACGTTGTTTTGTGGCAGAATTTCTAATGGAGCACCCGTAGATTTTTGCCATGCCCCGGGTGCGGGATGGTGGCACTTGTTCTCCGGACTCAGTGACTTTCCCGAAGAAAAATGCCGCCCATGACCGGAATCGAACCCGGGTCGGCTGTGTCGCAGCTGACGCCTTAGTCTACTTGGCTACTCCGTTCCCCCAAACTATGCTTATTGGGGAAGTGTCAATATATTTATTTTTCTCAGTAAAAAATAATGTATATAGGTACCTACTGTTGTTATTTGACAATAAAGATTCTTATTATTATTAATATTATATTCATTTATAAATATTAAATAGTATTATTTTACTAGTGTCATTATATCAGCTGTACGTGTTTAGGTAAACATATTTAAAAACAATATAATATGGATTATTCGTGGTTTATAAATATTATATTATAGTTGCGTAGTATATCTATTCTATTTATTTCTATATATAAAACTAGCTGATCCCATACACTTTGTTGCCCGTAAAAAATGGCAAATCTCAAAAAAATTATGATTTTTAAACTCCTTTTGGGTGCAACTCGTTGTAGTAAGTGCAACTCATCCACATGGTAGGAAATGTTCGAAAATTCGATTTGTTGCAAGGTTGTACCTGATCTACCCAAATAACCAATGGCATCCAATTATAAATAAATACTAATTTCTACCCTTAATCTACCCTCAAAATTTCAATTGGTTTCGGTTCTGCATTGATTATGAGTCACTCAGGACAGTCTCGTATATATATATATATACAAATAAACAGATTACATTATCTATGACTCTAACATTATTAGAAATAGGCAAATCGCCCTCTGAAGTAGTAATTAAATTGTCTGTAATATTAAGATTATTAGAAATAGATGAATTAACATCAAAATTGTCACTATTATTTCCAGTTACTGGGAATGTATCAACTCCAAATTTAGCTTAAATATTATTATTATAATAAATTTCAAATAAAAAAGGGAAAATATTGCCATCTGATATCTGAAATCAATTCGTAATAAACTAATAACCATTGTAGACAGTAGGATTGACCATTTCACGTACCTACATAATAGGTACTAAGCAGTGGAGAAGTGGTTACCATTTGAATTATAAGACATAGTAATAAAGTTATTCCAATTTTAGATTATTGTATTTTGGATATCCTGGCATCTTTCTTGACTGTTAAACAAATGAAATTAAATTGAAAGGGAAAGGCAGGCACCATCACCGATAATTGGTACAACTATTTGAAGTGTCAACATTCCATCGAAAAAATCTCTTTAATCGATGACCTTTTTACAAAATATATTAAAAATTATATTGAATATATAAATTTTTAAATAAATCTCCAAAAAACGAATAAAAAACTTTACAATTCAGTAATGAAAGAAAATTGTAATAATAATATACCAACTATGATCAATAATGAAAATAAATAATAATATTGGTAATCATGGAAATAATAATACTAACAATGATAATAAGTTCGTTGATATAATAGGTATACAATTTACATTATACAAGTACAATTTTGGTTTTTTCTTATTTTAACCCCTTAAAATCAAAATTTTGCCAACATTTTTCGTAGTGCACTGTGAAATTATAATTTTAATCTACCCTCAAAATGTCAAATTAATAGCTCTAATAATAGGTGCAGCTCTGAGTTGTTATGAATCAGTCACTCAGGTCAGTCTCGTTTATATATTATACAGATACAAAAAATGCTTCTACCTATCTATCTATGTCCTTTATGCATTCCTACCCTTGATCCGATTGCGATGACATTTGGTACAGACTACAGAGATAGATTAGACTTTGGAGAAGCAGGTAGGTACATATTTTGTATCAAAAAAAAAATAAATAAGAGGTCCAACCCGGGGAGGTTCTCAAACAGGCATATAGGATTATTATTATTATTGTTTATAAATGGTTGCTATTGGTTTTAATAATAATAAATATTATTATTAATGCGATAAACCTGTGTATTTTAGTACAGAATGTTTCGAGACTACGTAATTCGGACCACGGTTTCGGTGGACTAATTTCTTGAATTTTTTGATATACTTAAGACTTAAGAGTTGAATTATACACTTACCGCAGGTAGATTGCCTACCAGATAATATACTTATATACTGCTCGCATAATCACAAGCGAATCTCATGGACAATGCCGGCCGGGATGGTTATAAATTAAAATATAATATCATTTACACTTGAAAAGACATTGCTTCCACAGCGTGCTACACCCAAAAAGATCTGAACAATCACAAAACCTAGCAAAAACAAAACATTGCCGTGTCAGTATATTATATATTTTATATTACTATACGTATATACTACACAATAAAGGTGAAGTGCATGATAAATAACAAGATAACTTATTATAATTTATAAGTTTCATTTTCACTTTACTTTTGGGTGCTAATTTTGTTACCATAAAAACCTTTAATTTTCTTTTAATGGTAAAAACTTTAATTAGTTTCCGCCCAATTATCCTCCACCAATTGAATTATTGCTTTTAAAAGTTGTAAAAAAATTCTTCGAAATTAAAATACACATTAATCAACACCATATCGTGATGGTCTATAGGGTTTAGAACTTATAAACAAATTGCTAAATCTAACGAACATGATTAATAAGTATTAGTGGCCAGTGTAATTATATGTATACCGGCCCTATGTTATGTATTAAAAAAAAATCCTTATGTAATTATGTTATAGAAACAATAATATCTCAAAATAAAATATTTTTAGTTTATATTTTGGTATGCAACAAAAATAAAAATAATATTATACCTACGTAGGTACCCATTATTTAATAAGACGTATCCAAATAAATTAAATAAATTATAAAAAATTATAAAAAAAAAAGTTACTACTAATAATATAATATTTTAAAGAACAGTGCATGCACACATTATTGTTCAGATGTATACTTAATTATCTATATTTTATCATATTTAGGGCCGTTCTTACCAAGTGAGAGTTAATTTTTTTATCTTAACGGTTACCCTAACCTATAGGTTGGGTCAACTGGAGTATAAACCTATAACTTAAACTAATATCTTTCTCACAAACTTTTTAAACCTTCAGGTTTGGGCAACCTCTAGGTTAACACCGAAATTATAGTATTGATGTTAGTAACTATGTTTGTTATCACTTTTTTTCGTTGTTATCATTTATTTATTTATTCATTTCGTGTTTTTCTTTGATAACCGAGGTTTAAAAACTGTAAAATATTTTTTTAACTTTAATTTTGACAATATTCTTCAAATTTATTGTAATTTAATTAAATAAAAATAAAATATTATATTGATTTTTATTGAAATTATATAAATATCCTTCAGTTCTAGGTTCATTTAAAATTGTCATCATATAATTGCTTACTCCAGTGGAACCCACTATCTCCAAGCAATAATGCGTCTCCAAACATATTGTCTTCAAATTGGGCTCTGATTCGGGAGTTCGAAAATATGTTACTGTCGTGTGCTGAGCCCGGCCATCGAGCAACTATATTTTTAATTTTTAGATCAGCTCCAGCTACAATTTGTACGTTGATAGAAAAGTATCCTTTTCGGTTTCGAAAAATTTCTGCATTATCTCCCCCTGGAGATAAAATTTTTACATGTGTGCAGTCAATTACACCAATAACTCTGGGAAATTTAGCGATTGAAAAAAAATTAAGTTTAGCTTGATTAATTTCTTCTTGGGTAGAAGGCATGCGTATAATATCTTTCCTCATCTTAGCTATCTCATGAGTAACTCTGGGTATAATTCTTCCAGCAGTTGCCGTGCTAACACCCACAAAATCTCCTACTGCTTGATAAATTGTCCCCAATGCATAAAATCTTAGTGTCAAGAATACTTGATTTTCAGGCGATACCGCATTATTCCTGAAATACCAATTGCAATGTACAAGTTGAAAGCATCGACACAATTTTTTCTATTAAAATCATAATGAATATTTACCGATCTGTTCGATGTGCAATTTTGTCTCGGATTTGGTCTATAATGTGAACCACTGCATTTTTGGATAATCGAAATCGTTTTTTAAACTCCTCGTTGTTCATAGTAAGTAAATAATTGCGTCTTTCTTTAAATACACGTGGGCGTCTAACTTGGGGTTCAAACTCATTGTCAGAACTATCAGTTGAAGTAATAAGGTCAACAATATTTTGAATTTCCATATTAATTAAAAGAAAGTTTGTAGGTAAACGAATATACACAACACAACACAAAATGTGAAAAAAAAGTGATTACCTATAAAAAACTTATTACAATAGAGATAATAATAATTAACCATGTAGTTTGCAATTAAACGGCAGGAACAACTAGCTGTTAAAATAACCTGGAGGATTAGACAAAAAACCCATAGGTTACTTTTAAAAATTGTTTGGTAAGAAACATATATTCTAAACCTATAGGTTTATTGTACATTAACCTAAGGGTTTATTTTAACCGTGAGATGGTAAGAACGGCCCTAATTGTATTATATCATACCAGGATTCTCATTAATAAACTAATTTTAAAAATGTATAAAACATTAATTAGGTACACCTAGTTCTGTTTATTGTTTTTCAAGTTGGATTTCAGAATACAGTTAAATTCTATATATACAACCAATTTAATAAAGAATCAAATGTTCTTAACTATGTTAAGAACTTTTTTTATGGTTAAATATCTTTAGAATTTTAGAAAGTTTGCTTACAAGTTACAATATACCATATTATAACATACTCGCATAAATAGTATTAAATGTAATATTTAGATAAAAAAGTCTTATATATTTTTATCACGTTTGCAATAATCACAGGTACCAACATGTTTCAACTTTCAAGATATTTACAAAATGTATACATTTATAACGACAAAATAATTAGAAGCAATTATTTTATTTTTATTACACTAATATAAGTAATTACTAATCACTAATTTAACATAATATTATAATATAGTCACACATTCACACGACATCTGCAGTGATCAGTTATAAATTAATCAAATTTCGGCAAGTTGCGTTGAAATGGGAAGTTTAATATTTTATGAATAAAACAAACACACATCACTACACTGCACAAGCACCTATATTATAATGACAGACTATATTGACAGTGAAAACTAATTTTGTTCAATAACAGTTATGTTTTTTATTTTTTTTTGTACAAAAATGGACTTATTAAATTTGTGTATGGACTGCACGGTTTCACAGAATTTAACCACCGATGCATAAAAAATATGCGTGTAATGACTTCGTATAAATGCAAATTGTTTCTTATGCAATATGTTATTATTATTATTATTATTATTATTATACGGTATAGGAACAAGTCAAACGATGAACCACCACACATGTGATCTTGACACGTGTTTCTCTCCACTCTTGTTTGCTTATTGAATTGACAAATCGTTATTATTTTACACGAGCTTTAAAAAAAAATTAAACAATGTCGCTAACAACGCGTTAAATTGGCATTAATAATTGTCATATTATGCGTGTCCGTTACGCGCGGATCACATGTTAGGTACGCGCATATTATTATAATTATTATATCAACGATTTTTTTTCATCTTTTATCGTATGTAGACGAACCGACGGCGGCGAGTTGTATTATATTATTGTTTATAAGGGTCCGGGATTTTTGTCGAAGCGATCGCTATGTGAGGGAGTGTGACAGACTATGACATTAGGTCGACGGCACATAATATTTTACTCGTACTTGCATTGATAATGGTTATTGACACGTATAATATTATTATAATTTATATTAATACCAAACAAACCCGGATTAAGGGTACCTAAAAGTGCTGGGGTAACAAGCACCTGTACCTAATATAAGGTTTATGGTAGGAATCGTACTACTACTGAAATCTCGATTCCGTTATTGGTATAATTATATTGTACTCTGAACTGTTCAGCGTTACATTTAAATTGTATAGATTTCAAGTTGACTATTTCAACCCCAGATAATAAAGCCAACTTTTTAAACACCACTATATAAATTAGAATACTAGATAATTAAAAAAAGGTAGAATTATAAGACCAAGTGGTTTTACGATAATAGCACAACCAATTTCCTCTATATGGGCTCTTCGTGGACCGTAAAAAATAATTTATTAAGTTTACTATTTAATCTATAAAATACGACGGATAAAGCATCAAATATAGTAATAATTTTGTGATAGTTCGCAATTTAAAACTGTTAAATTGTTGAATACTTCGAATTGCGATAATAAAAATGATAACACAAGTATGAAGCAAATAAACAATATTTAGCAAAGTTTGACACATCAAACATGCAATGTATTGACGAGAGGGTTTTTAAGAAAATTATCATTGCGCTATACTGCTACGAATATCTTTAGTAACCTTACACTTAGAGGGTTCCGTCTCGGATACATCACTTTATACCTGGCTACCTGATGAGATAAAAGAAAATCAGACCAAGTGCACAACATGCGTGAAGTTCAATTAACAATGAAATATATCCTCGTCGAATGCAGACGAACAGAAGCTGCCGGAATCAAACACAACATTCCTGCAGAGTTCCTCTCTACCATTCCGCCTAGGTCCGAAAAAAACAACCATCAAACAAGCACGTAATTTCATAAAGTGAATAAAAAATTAAAATTGATTGTAACAAAATAATATTTAACCTGTAGACAAATCTTTGTTACTTTTTGAATAAGAATTATTATTTTATGTAAAAAAAATATATAAGTACATATCTTTATATTGTCAAATGTCCATCATGCTGCAGCCGAGGTTTATTCTAAGGTTCGGATTTTAATGCAAATTTTATTTTTTTCTTGAAACTATCTAACACAATTCTTCCAAGTGCAAAATTCGTTTTGTGGATCAAAGAGTTAAAAAAATTAATTTTTAGGGAATTTTTTATTTAAAAGTATTTTTCGTATATTATTTACAAATGTCTACTTGTAGATCAAATTATTTCCTCAAACTCTGTACTTAACGTTTAATCTGCGTTTAGTGTAATTACCGTGACGACAGTCACCGTGAACAAAGAATATAGGTATTACATTTATGGTTGAATCTTATTCTTTTCGTTATCTAAGGATAAATAACTTGTTACTAATAAAATGACGAGGGTAATCGTGAAAATCATACGATTCGTATTTCGTATTACTCGAATTAACTCCAATAAAAATCAAGTTATACGAGTTATATTATACGTTATCATTGGCGTAAATCTGGGGTGGCTTCCCCCCCATCCGAAATATCCCATTAGCCTCCCCAAAAATATACAGTTATATAGTTGTTTGGGATTGAAGCCCTCCCGTTCACATTGATGTTAAAAATGTTAGCCCCCTCCGCTATTATGGTTAAGATTTTGTTTTTGAGTGAAACTATTTACCCCTAACCCCTCAAAAAGTACAGCAATATTATTCAAATTTCATCGAACCAAAATTCTACCCCTCTAAAACTCAATGGTGATAACATTTCCTGGACTTCAACTATAAAATATTTAAGAGTCATCCTACAGGATATTATATATATATATATAGGATTTATCTACAGATATAAAATTAACTTGGAACCAGCACATTTCTTCGAAACTACAAAATACCAACGACTTAAAATACTTTACCCCTTAATCATTTGTTAAGCCGCTTTAAGTCGGAAATGCTCACTGCTTCTTTACAAACAAATTCTACGGCTCTTGGTACTCTATGATGCTGCCCAAATCCAAAACTTTAGAAATGTAAAATTTAGATAAATTTTTTTTTTGGTAATTGACAGAGAAAAATTTACGTAAATTTTATAAATGTTGATAATTTTGGTATGTAACCATAGGAACACCTCCAGAAACTCCGCATTCGTCGCATTTCCATGAACTTATAATTATGGTAACATTTATTTTTTTTATTTATTGGATAGTAGGATGTTCAATTGAACAGGATGATCGTTGTTTTTAAATTTTTTAAATTTAGTGACTGGGGTTCTGGTTCTAATATATGTGTTAAAAATAATAAAAATTAAGTATAGAAAATTAAAAAATAATCAGAGAAGTTTAACCGGTGCCCCAAAGCCATGAAAAGTTTAACACTACTAATATTTTAAACTTGGTTTATTATCTATATCTGTGATAAAATCAAATGTTTATTGATTGCGATAGTAATTGATCGTATTAGATTTTCTTATGGTGTATTCGTATGTTTAATGTTATGTAGTATAGGTACTACACTATCAGTGGTTGTGGACGTTTTACATTTTATAATATAAGCTTTTCCATTTTATTAACATGTTATTACTGATGAATATTGGCCCCATGAAGCCATTTAATTTTAGGTGCCACATGCTAATATTTTATGGTAAAAAAATAATTGGTAAATTTATAGGTAATTTACCTTACCAGTAAATTTACGAGGTAAAAATTTACAGAGCTTACATCTCTAAAAAACTCATATTATAATTAAAATTCAAGTATTTCAGTCCAAAATACTACGAACAATATTAAATGTGCCTTGATTCGTCAGAAACGAACACCTTCACACAGACTTAAACTTCCTACAGTTAAGTCCTACACACAAAATCTATCTATCAAATTTGTTAAACAACTAGCTAAATCACGCAAAAAGTGCTTAATATTCTAGTAATAAAATCTGTTGTCACCTAACAACAGAAATTAAAAAAAAAAAAATATTAAATGTTATTAGGTTTATCAATATCATTATTCATATTATATCCTATTTAATGTATCATTTATTCTATATTTCCAGCTCCACGGTCGTGGTTCGAGCTAACAGCTAAGTAAAAAAACAAAATAACTATACGACCGTGTGTGTATATTATATCGAAGCAGGAGTTACCCATTTAAACTGTGTAAAATACGGGTTAATTTGTTCAGCGACATAAATAATTTTCTAATGCATCATTTAACTCCTAGTAAACTCCAAAACATCAGAAATATTGTGTAGAGTGTGCTTTTGTAAAAATCATAAAAATCATACGTTTAGAAATTAAGTTATAAACAAAAAAGTGTGAACTTTTTAATGGAAATTTATATTAAATTCAGAATCATGGTAGACGTCGCCGTCGTAGCATTACAGCGTTGCCAATGTTTGTTATCTAGTCATTGGGGAAAATATGGCAAAATTACAGTACTTTAAACAATATTGCTGTTCTTATACCTAGATCATTGTTTAAATACTTAATATTTACTCAGTA